TTCATTTATCTGCTATTTACCTCAAATATTCTTACTTTAAAAGTTAACTTAAAGGTAGCTGAAAAGAAAACTCTGGTTTGGTTCTGAGGCTCTGTAGCACTGTTACAGCCTGGCTGAACACAGAGTAGCCCTAAACCCCCCTCCAGCTCCTTCCTTCCCTCCACCTTCCATCCCAGTATCCAGGTGTCCATGCAGATTGCAGGTTGCTGTAGCGAGTTATCCCTGACAATCCTACAGTCACAGAGAGTTTAAAAGGCACATTAGAACAAGGCTGACTTGCCAAGCAACACTTCTTGAATATAACCAAGAATATTTTAGTTTAGATTTTCCCCAAGCAATTAAGTTACGTGTTCATAAGTATTTTTATTGGGGCATGTATTATTTTTGTAGGTTTGTCTTTATATACATGCATGCACAGACATGTATTTGTCTGTATGTCACACGTTTTGCACTTAGCACTGCTAGCTTTTCATATTTTCTCCCCAGAAACATGCTGTGATAGCTCCGGTATTTCAAAGAGCTTGCAATCCAAAATGTGTCACTAGGAAATATTTCTTTAAGGAAGAAAATGTGGGTTTTGTTAACTTTCTCAATCTCTCATCCATTCAGCTCTGTGCTGAATAGAGGTGCTGTGGCAGGACTTGGGGTGGGACTCCAATGGCTCCTCTTTATTTCACCATTTTGTAAACAGTTGTTAACAGGAGTGATGCTGAAGCCGTAAAGTTTGAATCTATGTGAGGTTCCTGCGCAAAACTAGAGCTTTAAAAATTCAGACTATCGATTTATAGTCCCTAATGTGTCACTCTTCACCTTGCAAGGAAACAACACATATTGTCTTGTCATATTAGCTGGAAGTGCTTTTGCATACCTACAGGAAGACATTTAGGGAGAGGAATCCATGCAATTTCTATAGCATCAAAGCCTTGTTGGGGTTTCCAGGTGACTGAATTCAGATTTATTGTTGGTGAACTTGGCTCCCAGTGATCTATTTAATTCTGAATTAGCATCTCTATTGCAATGCTTAACTGTGGCAGTGTGCTTTCCAAACATACACTAATGTGGTCTCACACCATCCCTCAAACAGGAAGCTGGATAATGAGGTGTGGGATCTTTTCTTTTTCCCTTTAAGTTATTAATGCCTGGACTATCCTGAGGTTTTATAACAAAAGGAGACAAACCCCATCAGTTTATCAGGAGAGAGAAATGCGTTGGGGCCAGCCCCATCTGAGCCTTCTGGAATCCAGCTGTTGGCTTCTCTGGATTGACTTCCACAAAATCCATCCATCTGTCACAGTCACTGATTCCTCTCCCCAGCGCTTTGTTGTTCCTGTTCCTTGAACCAAATTGTTGTACATTCTATAGAACCCCTGGCGCTCTTCATCTTCTACAGCTTAACAAACAATGTGAGCTTCACCCTATGCTTTGCCAAAGTACAGATACATGAAACATTTACACATTTTATTGCTCTGAAACCGCAATTTGCAGACCATCTGTAATGGACTCACAGAATCGTTCTGTGTGTCTTATACTGTGTGTCTGATCCATGTGGAAGAGATGTTTGTGGTGTTTTGAGTAAAAATTTGATCCTTAGGGGCAGATACTGAACTGTGAGAAGTGTTAAAGATGGGGAATTGCTTCCAGTTAAGAAAGCTTTGGAACAAATTGATTTGAAACGACTAGTTATCTTACAAAAAGGTATCTTTTTGGTGTGTCCTAATCCCTTTAGTCAGTTCAAGGTATAACTTTTCCATGTCCTCTTTATCTTTATTCCTGTTTAAAACTCTGGATACCATTAAGGCCATGCTTCACGTCCAGTGGAGACATGGATCTCCGTTTTCCTCTCTCTGACTTGTGAGAACAGTAAGTACTATAAAGCATTCTGTGCCATTCTAACTAATCACCCTTCTGGCATTCTGAGCAAATGCAGGTTAATGGTGAATCTTTTAATATTTCTATTAATTAAGTATATTATCCTAATAACTCCATTGTCAATTTTTCACTGCCAGGTAGTGACTAGAGCTGGGTAAGCTATTCATAACTACTAATGTATCTAAAGGAAAGAGTGGGTTTTGTTTATGAATCGCCTGCTGGAAAAGTCTAAGTTTTACAAAGAGATTTGTTATTTGAAATTCATTTAGGGATGTTGTGTGCAGACAGGATGGAGCAGAGGCACATTCATCAGAGGGCGTCACTGCTTTCTGGTTTGCACAGGGGCATTTACACAGGCTCCAGAAAGAGGGCTCTTGTAGGTCTTTAATTGTTAGAATTAATATTTGAAGTAGAATTTCAGCCTCATCATTTTATTAAATATAATACAGGTATGTATGGAAATAAGCACATAGTTGGTGTATTGGTATTTGAGATAGCCACTACGACCTGTGCTTTTGCTTCAATCCCTAATATAAAGTTAAGAGGAGGATCTCTGGGACAGCACCACAGAAGGGAGGAGGGAGATGAAGTAATTCACTCGGTGACCGTGATTCTTATTCTAATAAAGTTTCCTGTTTGGGATTGAAAGGACAGACTCCTGCTCCAATTGTACATGTGTTACGGTGCCACCCACCATAATGAGGTGGAAACAGAAATGCAGCCAATTCAATAGGACTTCCAGTTTGATGAGCCCATAGGAAGATTGGAACATAAGGATTGTTTCACAGCATCTGAGCAGCAATGAAGCTGAAAATACCGATTCATAAATTTCCCAGGAAGAGGAGAAAAACTGTGCGGTCATTCCTGAAAAGTTGATGAACATTTCCATCCAGTAATACAGTACATCGATAGGTGTGTTTGTGTAAAAAGGTGAAGAGACACAGAAAGCTTTTTATGCACCAGCATAAGAATAAGCAGAGGGAAATGTCCTTAATGAAACACTCATAACAGAGTTTTAAAGGAGGAATTTTAAGGAAAATCATGGTGTTTGGTTTGAGGGGGTAAAACACAAGGTAGGGGCCTGGCTGAAGTCTGAGGCAGTGTGCTGGAAGCTGAGGATGTTGATGCTGTATTACTGCAGTACTTAGATGCCCTAATTGTGGGTCAGAGGGCTACAAACAGCTTGACTGTTACCCAGTCTGGAGGCAGGAGCTCATCACTGCTGAGGGCACAGTGAGACAACAGTGCTTCACCTACGAATCAGCCTGTTGGAGTTGTGGCTGCTGGAAACCCCAAACCAAATGGTAGGAGAAGCAATAGGGCAGTGGATGAAGTGTAAAGGCAATAGAAGTGGTAACTACCACAGTTCTTTCATTTTTTAAAATTGATTCAAATACAGAAGTGGCTGTGATTTATAAACTTGAAGAAGGTTAGCCTTAATCTCCAGCTAGACATTTTCATTGCCTGAGTAAACTTTGAGCTCATACTAGCTACAGAGGCAGGATTTTGGTATTAATAGAGCCACTAGAGGCAGTTAACCACCCACAGTGTCATGGGGCTCTTACAACGAAACGTTCTGCCTAACAGAAATGACTTCGATGCTTAGGACAGCTTAGGTCCTAAAGGACCGTCTGTGCTGACAATTTAGCTGCTTCCCAAAATAAAGGAAGAGTGCAGAAGAAAACGATAATAAACCAGGAAAATCTAATAGAGAATGTGAATACACAGAGTTGCCTACTGTGGGAATCACAGAGAATCTTCCAAAGCAGCCCAGGTGCTGTGTAAAGCCCAGTGCCCATAGGTAGCCAGAGGCACAAATAAACAAGTATTGTTACTTTTAGAGAGCTTTACAGCCATGCCCACAGGGGTTTTGGTTGATTTATACAAGTATTTTGCACCTATGATCTAGTTTCTCAGTGTATCTTCCCACCAAACTATGTGCAGAGGCTCTTTTCTTAACTGCAACTTCCTTGGAGATCCAAGTAATGTAAATGACTTTAAAAAAGCCAATTAAATGTATGATGAAATGTCAGCCTTTCTGATTGCAGCCTTCATTAAGGAACTGGAAATGGGAGGTATTTTTTTACCTAATATTGAACACAGTTAATTAAAAAGGTAAAGATTACATTGTGCTTCAGTTAATTTGAAATAAAGAACCTCCATTTCAACAATAAATTTCAGATTTTAGTTATAGCAATTAATAGACCAAACTGTGTACTTAAGCTTTTATTATATTGATTCTAAAATAATTAGATTAGCAAACACATTGCAAATATATTATCTAAAACAAATAACATTATCACCATGCTTTTTTGTTATATAGCCCAGCAATAAAACATAGAACAGGGTAATCTCAAGCAATCTCATAAAATTAATAGTCATAGAGCATATATTACATCCTTGCACTAAATGACAAAAGCCAGTGTGATGCTCGTGTGGACAGTTTTAGACTGTGAGGCTTGTGAAATGTTTTGGTGTAGGATTTGTCCAAGTTAAGACATGTCTTTTACGTCTAGCAGATGATTTTAGTCACACGTGTGTTTCCTGGAGTGTTTCCAAGCATCCCTGTTAAGCTGCCCAAGTAACCTTGTTTTAACTGCATCTCTCTCAGTCCGTCTCCCACCCAACTTTCACATTCTTCCTTGCAAAGCAAATTGTAAAAAGCATTTCAGGAGCAGCCTGAGACATCACTTTTAAAAGCCTTCAGGCTGTTTGAGAGGCCTTTTAAAAAGCATGACATTCAATCAGAGTTCAGTGAGGAAAGTTTTAATGAATAAACTTGGTAAATGAGAAAGCACCGCAGCACAGTGATTAACTCTCATTTGTGCATCAGTGTTCAAATGAATTAAAATGTTTAAGCCGTAGGAGGCAGGTTACCTCCTCAAGACCTGGCTTTGCCCTCAGAGTCAGTCTGCACCCAGCAACGATTCATCTTGCACAAGATGAGAGGAGGGCTAAAAGAAAAGAACAGCCAGGACAAATGTGTTTTCAATGGGGCTTAGCTGCAGGAAGGCCACAGAGACCTCAGTGTGGCGTTGCTGGAGTGTGACATAATAATACAGTAGGTACGTTGGAGGGGAGACGCTTTGGAAACCTCCTTTCACAGGGGTTTCATTTGACTTGATGTGACAGAGCTAATTTCATTACCAGGAGGCATGCTGGTTTGTGCTGCAGTGTAAAGCAGACTGCTGGAGTCTAGCTCTTCCTGCTTTGCTTAAACTGCTCCTGGTGAACACAATGTGCCTGATCGAGCACCACGATGTTTGTGATATGGAGATAATAATTTTATACTCAGAGTTGTTACCACCTTTACTAACAGTCTTTCACTGCATCACTTAATTACATGAAAAGTTAGCTAATGTGTGTGATCCATTAAGGAATAAGGATTTCTTTTAGTGCTTTGATGGCAATAAATCTTAGCAACTGATTTTGAAACAAACCACAACCTTAAATTCCTATAAACTTATTTTCCTTTAAAAGTAATTTTAGATTAGTTTCATTCAAGAACCAGGAGCCTGTATTTCTTCCTATGCAGACCCGTTATGATGTGCCTGTTTAACAAATCTGTGCTGGTTTGGAATTACAAATGACAGCCTATTCTATAGAGGGAAAAGTCTTCTTTGACAACAGAACAACATCATATGAGTAACAGATGGAAATCTGTGTCATACAGCTGAGCAGTTTTTTTCCCATGCTCACCAAGGGCCAGTTATTAATTTTACATTGGTCAGAATTAAGGATTTTGGAGGAATTCATCTGAAAGGGGAAGTATGAAAAATTTGTGCTCAATGAAAATTACCATGATCCGCTGTAGATCTATATTCATAACTTGGAAACCTGGCAGTCTTTCCTATTTTTTCCCTCTATAGATTTCTTGTCAACAAGGGTGTCAGAGGTCAATGTCAGAATGCCCCTCTGGCACCCATTAACTATAACCAGAAAACTTGTTCACTATTGATCTACAATGTCTAAATATCTATTATGTTGGATATAAAAGGTGGTTTCACATCTTTCTAAAACAGATAATTCATAAAGGCCAAAGGGTCAGGTCTGGTGATATATTATTGTTTCACTGTATCAGTGACTACAAGTGCAGGAGGGGAACAGGCCAGGCCAAGTGTCATTGAACTCGTGCTGGAGACAGTGGTTCGCCTCCATGCCTGCTGCCCTCCCGTTCACCACCACAGCCCCTTAATGCCATTTAATGCTGTGCACTTGTGGGTTTTACTCAACACTGTGCTGAAAGAATGGTGCCTGAATAAGTCTCTTTTAAAATCTGTGTTTACCTCCTTGTAGTCAGAGCTCAGATGAGTCTGAAATCTAAATAGAAGTCAAGTCTCTGTACTGAAACTGATGCCATCGGCAAATAAATGGGCTGTGGTCCATCTTGCTGTCTGTAGAGCATTTTATACCATGATGGTCATACAGGCAGGGCTCTGTGTGTGCTGCAGTTTGATTATTGCAAGAATTGTGCACAAAAGGGCAGAGCCCCTGTGGGTTTAAGTTGTCACAGCTCCTTTGACTTCAGTAGAGCGATGACACTTGATGTACACAGAGGATCTGCCCCAGAATGCTTGTCAGGCTCTGGCCATAGTTCCAAAATCATGTGTTTTCTGAGCAGACGCTTGTGTAATATCATATGAGTGATTTTGTTTGCTCATATCAACCCATCAAATTTATGGAGGCTCTTTTAATCTCCTCATTATTTAACTATTGAGATACCTCTATTCTGCTTGAGGCTCAAATGCAGAGCAGAAGCAACTGTGAATTTCTTTGTTCTGCTGTTCCTATAGCAGAGCGCGGAAACACTGTGAGAATGGAGGACTCAATCCAGGGTTTAGTTCCCCCCCAAGTCCTGTGAATTCAACCTGTGAGACTACATGGCATTTCCCAGGAGACACCTCTTACTTTTGCAGGATGAGATCCATAGGAAGCAAACCCTCTTTGGAAGGAAGCTGATACTGTACTCTTTAATGGAGTTTATGGACTTCTAGCAACCCCCCCAAATGGTTCATATTCTTCCAGGCTCCATTTTTGAAGAAAGTAAATTGAGATGAATCATGATAAGATGAGACAGTTAAAATGTCAGGCTCCATAAGTTTCAATACATCCTTATAGCTCTGAACACTAAACTGCAACTGAACATTGGAATAAGGGAAACAAAAGAGAATCAGATAACTAGTTCTTATAGAGGGGAAAAAAGTCATTTCTGTCTGCGCTGCTACACCATGGAAATCCACATAGTACAGTTTTAGAGCTGTACCTTAAAAAAAACAATTGCAGTTTCTTTTTATCACTGGTCTTGGTTACACATCACTGCCTACTCTATGACACACTGGAATTGCAGAGTTTCTGAGGCAAACAATACACCAGCAGCTTTATTTCTGTTTACAAATGTTACCTGGGGGAAATGTGCCTGTACCTGTTGGATAAATTACAAATCATCAGCACTAAATATGACCCACAACAGTAACATAGAGGGGAAAAGGGACGGCTGCCTGTACGTACTTGGTATTAAAGAAGAGGAAGCTGCCTCCTCAGTATACTGCTGGTTTAATCAGTTAATGGAATGATTCTGCTGTAATGTTTAAACTAGATCTGTCCATGTGGTCTTGCCTCAAGCATTTTCTTGACAACAGCCACTTCTCCATTTATGCTTACCATAAGATGTACAATTAGTTGAATTAACTCTTATGATGCTTCTAAGTGACTCACTGTAGGGTTGAACCCAAGTCACGCTACCAGAAATCCAAAGCACAGCCAGATTCGTGTCCGAGGGGTTTGGTAAAGATGCGGTACACAGAGAAGTGTTGTGGGTAGTGGCATCTGAGCTACCTCTTAGTCCAAGCCTCAGAGCAATGTACAGTTGAACTGACAATAGGAAAACTTTGATAAGAACCAAGAAAAGGCTCAAAGTCTTATTTTGGTAGAGAGCCACCACCTAAACTGCTCTGCTACCACCTTTCTCTTCCAAAGGTTGGGTAGGACAGTTTTGCCTGCCATAGCTGGTGAAGTTACACTTGGTTACATGAACTGTGGACTGCGCATCTAACCCAATCGACCTTGTGCACCTGGTCAACCTGTGGTTGACCTTGACCTGGTCACAAGAAAATTAAAGCCTGTTGCAGGGCTCAGGCCTGAGCCTGTTGTAACTAGATCCCAGACCTGAGCTGGGCATGCCAAGGCTTTAGGTTTAGCTGCAGGGATAAAGCTGAACACCAAATAGGGTCAGGAGAAACAACTGTTTTGTAACTGGATCCTCTCACGCTGCTCTGGCTGCAACACAGATGGGCCAGAATGAAGGCTATCACTCCTAGTTTATAGCCATTAGCAACCGTGATCTGCCTAATATGAAACAGAAATAATAGTATTATTAATAATAATATCAAACTGACACATTATTAGCCTCTACAGATGGCTCTATTCCTCCTAATAATTTTTATTTGTATTTAATGTTTGGAGATGCTGTAAAAAGGGACTAGTGCTTCCAAATGTGACCTCTGTGAGGTTTAAAAGCTACTGAATCAGATGAGATATTAAAGCATTCAATATAATGTATGACTTAAAGCTATGTTTTTAAAACTTTAATAGGAAATGTCTGATGCTTTAGATTACTATTTCTTGAAGTATAGTAGGCTGAAGAATTTGCTTCAGAGGGTCTCTTTATATCCAAGAAGAGCTACAGTGAGAATACACAGTATGTTCTTCCTTCACTGTGCCTCTAAATAGATGTAAAGGAATTAGAGTGTATTAATAATACATCATGTTTCTACTTTGTTTTATACTATTGTACATATGTTCTTACAGCACAGTCAACACCACCGTATTTAAATATCTCCAAGCAGTTCATTAAAGAAGGTGATTAACATCTGTCATGTGTTGTTTTCCTCCTCCTGTCCCTGAGGAGAGGAGGATGTTTAGTGGCAGACCTGATTTTGGTAGGGATTTATCGTTTGTATGGGAAGCTTTTTTGTTTTGCTGAGGTTTTACTTCATCACACAAAACGACCTATTGGGATAAATGTTTGCAAAGGCAACTCCAAAAAAGCCTGCCTTGCAGCTGAAGTGAAAGGTGAAGAGATTTAACTTGAGTGGATGTGTTTAGATACTTGGGCTTGTGTGTGGTGAGAATCCTGCCACATCCTCACCTGCCCATCAGGAGGCCTCCCATGGGATGTGGGTGAAGCTCTTGATTTTGGCTTGTGTCTGAGTACTTTGGGCCTTCTTGGGCAGCCCAGAAACATCTGAAGGTAAGGACCAAACAGAATCTGCTAGAGGCTGGGTCTCAGGAAAGCTGTGTGTCCTCCAAGTTCTTTTAAGCTGCCTTTGCAGACTGGCCTTGTAGGGGTTTTGCTGTGCAACCAAGGAAGCTGTGGTGTAGTTTGAAGTTCCAACCTGCCCCTGCTCACAAGCCCCAATTTAGTGTAGGTTTGGTGGCAAGCTTAAGCTTGCTTCCCCTGCCTGCTCCTGTGTGAGCTGGGTCAGCCATGGTGGGCATTGTGACGCCCACTGTACTGAAAGAGAGTGGATGTTCCACTTGAATCTTGTTGGTTATTGAGCCCTTGGGTCAGAAAGGACCTTAAGATCGTCTAGTTCCAGCCGCCTGCCATGGGCAGGGACATGTCATGCTACACCATGTCAGCCAAGGCTCTGTCCAGCCTGGCCTTGTGGAGTGTCAGGTTATTGTCATCAGCTAGGTGAGGCTGTGAGGCCTTTGGTAGCTTTTCTGTGAGCTTTCAGATACATGAAGATCTGATACAGGCTGATGTTTTCATGGGTATTTTCATTCTCAGCCACATTATTGTGTGGGAAAGACCAGCAATCAGATTAGTTACAGCATTTTCCCTCATAGGACCTCCAAGTTTGGAATGACTGTGGTCTCCATTATAGTCAGTTTGCAGCATCAGCCTTATCTTCACAATATTTGCTTTCAATTTCACTTACTCATGGTAGCTATCCAGGAAAAGCACAGGGATTTGCCTGAGTTTCTACACTGTCTCTACAAGCTTTCATATGAACTACTAGACCACTAGTAGCTCTTAGTAATAAATTAACCTCTGTCATAATATTTACTAATGCACCTGGATCACATTAGTTGTATTTTGTTTGTTTTTCCAAGGAGAATTTGTTGCCTTCTCATTGACAGGGTGTTTTTGTACTAGCTGGTTTCCATAGACAAGTTGGTCGTTATTGTCTGCGTTGAATTTGCAGTACCAGCTTCCATCAAGG